TTGGGTAGTCACAGTCAACAGTTGTCTGAATAGGCTTTCCATTCCCTCTCCTGTTCATTCTTCTTCAGGTGCCCGATTCTTATGCCGCTCTTTCCAGTAAAGTCAGACAGTAATCATCGAGTTCTTTACTTATTTTAAATGTTCAAGTCTCTCTCTTCTTTCCTCTGCATCATTTCTAGATTTTCATCTTTGATATCACTGATCGATTCCTCCACTTGGTTTGCTGTTGCCTGTGCTCACTAGTTCATTCTTGATCTCTTTTATTGAGTACTTCCTCTCCAAAATTTTTTTTCTAAAATTTCAATTTCTTTCCTAAAGTAATCATTTTGTTTGTTGACTTGTTTTGAGTTCATTAAACTGCCCATCTGTATTTTTCTGCATCTCATTGAAATTTTTCAAAACTACAGTCTCGAATCCTCTGTCATTAAAGTAACTATTTTCAAGTCTTTAAGTTTGTTATCTGGAGATTTAAATTTTTTCTTTCTGAAATGCTGCGCCACTTTGGTTGTTCATGAGATTTGATGGATTCCTACTGTGTAGGCATCTATGAGGTGGTAACCACCACCCCCCCCCAAAAAAAAAACAACAGAATTACCTTCTGGAAGGTGGGCCTCTTATACTAAAGGCTTCCCCTGTTAGGGACGTGTTCTAAGAACACATCTGTATCAGTGGACCAGATGGCATTGTTATGAGAGGCTGCATTCAACTTCAGTTTTTTTAAAACTCTTTCAACACATTTGCACATTTCATGATAGATGATTTACGAGCGCAACTGCTCATACTATTCTAAGTGTTTAGTAGTTTTTGACCCAAAATGGCATGACCCCTGTGCCCCAACCTCCCTGTTTTCCCCATCTCACCCCAAATGACATTTTTTTGGTCTCCCTAGATAGAAAAAAAATCCTCAAAGGAAACTTCTGCTGATGTAGAAGAGGTGAAACAAAAAATAGCAGAAGTACTAAAAGCCACCAAAATTGATGATTTCAAAAACTGTCTTGAGCAGTGGAAAAAATGTCCTGATAGGTGATTTGCAATAAATGGTGAATACTTTGAAGGTGACTGAAGTTTAAACATGTAAGAATAAACACAATTTTTATAAATAAATACCTTTTTTTCTGGTCCCGCTCATGTGTATGAGCGGCACTTCTCTAATACAATAGGTTGATACAAATATTTCTATTATTTTCCAGTAGGTGGCACTGAATCACAAGTTTTTGGCTTTCTTGCACATCTCTGGCTTTCAGATCTCTGTGGAGTGGCAGAAAACTGGCAGGTGGGTGCCTCTGCTGTTGTCTGGCCACTGCAGTTCCCAGGACCAACCCAGTAGTGAGGCTGAAAAAATGCTTAATGTGATTCCAACCTTAAATTCAATGACACTTGTTTTGTATTTTGATGTGTGATCTATCATAGAAAGCATTCCATGTGTACTTGAAAAAAAAAATGTGTTCTACTGCTTTGGGGTGAAACGCTCTAAAACTATTAATTAAATCCAGCTGGCCCAACGTATCTTTTAATGCCATGGTTTCCTTGTTACTTTACCATCTGGAAGATCTATCCCCTGATGTCAATGAGGTGAAAAAATTCCCTACTATGACTGTGTTACTGTCGATCTCTCCCTTCACATCCACCAACATCTGCTTTATATGTTTAGGAGCTGACATGTATAAACGTTTACAAGAATTACATCCTCTTGTCGTATTGAGCCCTTAATTACTATGCTATGTACTTTCCTGTCTTTTAAAGTTTTTGTTTTAAAGTACAATTTGTCTGATATAAGTATCTTTCATTCTGAAGTGGGTCTCTTGTAGGCAGCATATATGTGGGTCTACATTTAAAGTGATTACTAATAGGCAAATAATTACTGCCATTTTATTCTTTTTAACTATGTTCCTCTTTTTTTCTTTTTCTTTTTAAAGAAAATCCACCAACATTTCTTGTAATAATGATTTGGTGGTAACAAACTCCTTTAGCTTTTTCTTGTCTGGAAAAATCTTCATTTCTCCTTCAATATTAAATGATAGCCCTGCTGGGCAAAGTAGTCTTGGTTGTAGGTCCTTGCTTTTCATCATTTTGAATATTTTGTGCCAATCCCTTCTGACCTGAAATGTTTTTGTTGAGAAATCAGTACACAGTCTTATGGGAGCTTCCTTGTAGGTAACTAGCTATCTTTTTCTTACTACTTGTAAGATTCTTTCTTTGTCTTTAACCTTGGGCATTTTAATTACGGTATGTTATAGTGTTACATTTTAAGGCTCATCTTGTTTGGGACTCTCTGAGCTTCCTGAATTTGTGTGTCTTTTTACTCCACCAGGTTAGGGATGTTTTATGCCATTATTTCTTCAAATAGGTCTTCAATTCCTTGTTCTCTCTTTTCTCCTGCTACTGCTATGATGCAGATGATATGCTTCAGGTTGTCTCAGAGGTCCCTTAGACTATCTTCATTTTTTAAAGTTCTTTTTCCTTTTTGCTGCTCTTATTGGGTATTTTTTGCTACCCTGCTTCCCAAATTGCTGATTTCGTCTTATGCTTCATATGATCTGCTGTTTATTTTCTTCTACTGTATTCTTTTAGGTATTGTATTTTTCATTTCTGATTGGTTCTTTTTTTATGTTTCCTGTGTCTTTTTTTATGCTTATATGTCTTTGTTGAAATTCTCATTGAGGTCATCAACTCTTCTAATTTCTGTGAGCATTCTTATAACCATTAATTTGAACTCTATATTTGATAGATGGTTCCCTCCATTTTATTTAGTTCTTTTTCTGGAGATTTCTCTTGTTTCTTTATTTAGGGCATGTTTCTTTGCTCATTGTGGCTCCTCCTCTGTTTTCGTTTCTGTGTTTTAGATTGATCTGTTGTGTTTCCAAGCCTTGGTGGGGTGGCCTTCTGTAGTGGGCGTCCTGTGGGGCTGTAGTGTAGTCCTCTGATGACCTGAGCTGGGAGCCTCGGGAGTGCCTCTTGTGTGGGTTATGTGAGCCCTTCTGTTTTGGTTGAATCTGGATTGCTGATGGGCATGGCTGAGTGCAAGAACTGACCAGACCACTGTGCACAGGCCACTGTGCACAGCTGCTGCTGACCCCACAGAGTGGAATTTACCTAGCAGGTCTGGTGTCTGCCAACACCTCCCTTTGGTGTGCCACTGGTGGAGCTCATCAGGTCTTGTTCTGATGTGGTTCCAAGCTAGCCACCAGGTGTGTTGGTTCTGGGGCCTTCCGAGAGGGATGTCAGGTGCTGCCTCTGACCAGTCTGGGTCTAACTATTAGATGCTACAAGATGATCCACAATTATTTGCTACCTGTGCTGGGCCCGTCGTGCATGGTAGGCGCCAAGACGTGTACCAAGACGGACTGCCACCAGTGCCAGACCTGGCACAGGTCAGAAAAATGCCCGAGGCACCTCGAGACTCATTGCCCTCTGCCAGCTGCTTGTCAGTCTCAGCTACTAAAAGAGCTTCAGGCAGCACATGGGTTTCATGAAGCAGGATCGCAGTGAGGCACAAGGAAAAAGGAGTGGTTCACATTTTTAGGCTATGCAGATACAAATGTGGTGCCAGTGTTGGGCCTGACATCACTCAGCAAAACTCTCAGGGCTGTGATCAGGGACTCGTAAGTAGACACAGCCCCTGAGATGACAAGGGTAGATAAATGAAGCTCAAATTTGTTGCAGTTTTCTTATTTCTCCAACATGATTAGCAGAACATTAATTATAGCAACTTTTGAAATACATGTTTAAAATGTAGCTTTCTGGACCTTTCTTACACCTTCTTGTAGACCTAGACATCAGAATCTCATGGGTTTGCACTGAGGAACTAGACAGGCCAGCAGCAATTAAACTGTCTTCTGCGTGGCTCTGGTCAAAAACTTACAACTTGCAGAATCAGTATAGGTTTCCTAGAGCAGTCAGCTATGTCATTAGTATCTGTCACAGTGATTAATTAGCACATAGTATGTACTCAGCAAATATTTGTTGAATGAATGAACAAACAAAAAACTATTTTCAGGAATTTAACACAATACCTCCTCACTCTGAATTTTTATGTTTATTCCTTACTTGCCTGGCTACTCGAGTCTGAGTACATTTCAGAGCACATGCTCTTCTCCATACACTGTACAAATCTTTTTTGTGTTTGTCAGTTGCATTTTTACCTTTCTTGAAATAGAGTATTGTATGCTAAAAATGTTGAGTATTTCCTTCCATCTTTAATATTAAAATAGCTACACAAAAATTCACCAATTTTAATAACATTTAAAAATGCATTCTGATATGACAGCTGTCACAATACAATCTCACAAAATTGTTTCAGATGAAGTTAAAGACAACCAACCACTACTAGAGCCATCGTACAGAAAAAAAAAAAAACAGAATTTTTTGGCTAACTCAATACACAGTACAAGGATTATACTAGGAACTAAGAATTCACAAATGAATAACACATAGACCTGATATCAAACAGGTCAAGTGGAAAGTAGCTGACCTTCACCAGAGAGATGGAGTAACTGCCCATGGCCACCCAGAAGTTAAGTGGTGGAGCCGGTATCTGAATGTAGGCAGTGTGACTACGGAGTCTATTCTGTTCTCTTAACCACTGTGCTACACAGGATCCTAAACCCAAGCCCTGTGCTCTGTCCACTGCCCTAGCCTGCCTCCCTAAAATACACAGAAAAGTCAATACATCAGGAGAGGGTGCAGTGCTCACAGCCGACTGGAGCTGGGGAGGAAGACAGGGAGACTGGCATTCTTGCCATGTCAAATCAGGCCAAACCCAAATGCAAAAGTATTGGGCCAGGATTTCTGCCAAGATGGAGGCATAGGTGGAAACACTGTGCATTCTCGTACAACCAAGTTTAAAGACAACAAAGTTTTAGTAACAAAAAATGCAGCCAAAACACAGAAAATTGAAGTATACCGAAGTCCAACAATGAGCCCTTCAGCCAGACCAGTAAGAGGGACAAAGCAAGCAACTGGCAGAGCAGGATTGTGCAGGAAAACTCGGTCAGACCTACCCAGGAGTGCAGGTGGTGGTTGGCAGATCCCAGGCGTGGGGTTGCGACGGGCAGACCCAGTGAGGGCACAAGGCGGCACACTGACCGTGGTCACACATTCGCGCTCAGATAAACCAGCGAAGGAGCGAGCATTGAGACAGACCGCACAGGCCCCAGCAACAGGAAGCAGCAGAGGGGACCGCTATTGCCCTGCTCTGACCCCGCCCCCACATACAGTGTCACAACCCAGCGACCTGGGTGGCCCCACCCTGGCGAACACCTAAGGCTGCCCTCCTCTTATGTAACAGGCACAAACAGACCAAACATTGCTCAAGAAGAACTCAAAGTCCCAGAGCCAATAACTCTAAGAGACCAAGAAATAGCCAAACTTTCAGATGCACAGTTCAAAACACTGGTGATCAGGATGCTCACAGAACTGGTTGATTTGAGTCACAAATTAGAGGAACATATGAAGACTAAACTAATTGAAATGAAGGGAAATGCACAGGAAACCAATAGTGATGGAAAGGAAACTGAGACTCAAATCAAGGGAGCAGACCAGAAGGAAGGAAAAAATGACCAAACAGAAAAATATGAAGAAACAAGAATTCAAAAAAATGAAGAGAGGCTTAGGAACCTCCAGGACATCTTTAAAGGCTCCAACATCCAAATTATAGGGGTACCAGAAGGAAAAGAGGAACAGCCATGAGTGGAAATTATTTGTTGTCCTATTATTACTTGTAATAAATAATAAAGGAGAACTTCCCCAATCTGGCAAAGGAAACAGACTTCCGGGACATCCAGGAAGCTCAGAGAGTCCCCAAGAAGTTGGACCCAAGAAAGAACACACCAAGGCACATCATAATTATATTAGCCAACATTAAAATGAAGGAGAGAATCCTAGAAGCAGCAAGAGATAAGGGGACAGTCACCTACAAAGGAGTTCCCATCAGACCGTCAGCTGATTTCTCAAAAGAGACCTTACAGGCAAGAAGGGGCTGGAAAGAAGCATTCCAAGTCATGAAATCCAAAGACCTACAACCAAGATTGATTTATCCAGCAAAGCTTTCATTTAGAATGGAAGGACAGATAAAGTGCTTCTCAGATAAGATCAAATTCAAGGAGTTCATCATCACCAAGCCCTTATTATATGAAATGTTAAAGGGCCTAATCTAAGAAAAAGAAGATAAAAAAGATGAACAGTGAAAGGACAGCAAACTCACAGTTATTAAGAACCACATCTAAAACAAAAGCAAACTAAGAGGACAGCTAGATCAGGAGCAGAACCACAGCTAGATCAGGAGCAGAAGATCACATGGAGGGTTAGCAACAGGGGAGTGGGAGGAGGAGAAGTGGGGAGAAGGTACAGAAAATAAGTAGCATAGACAGTAGGTAGAAAATAGATAGGAGGAGGGCAAGAATAGTATGGGAAATATAGAATCTAAAGAACTTGAAACACGTGGTCATTACCTAAAGGGGGGGAATAGTAGGGGGTGCAGGGTGGAGGGGAATGAAGGGGGGAAATAGAACTGTAATGGCATAATCAATAAAAAATCTATATTTATATAGATATCAAAAAAAAGTATTGTGCAGATACTTGGGAACTGCTGGCCAACTGAAGCCAACTTGGAGCAGAAGAAAAGCCGCATTAGGAATTTAAACCTATTTTAAACCAAGGCTTTCAAGACTTGAATTTAGACCCAGACAAAGATAAGCCCAGTTTCAGCAAAGTATATTTAAAGCATTCAATAATTCAATTTAGCCCTGGTCAGGTGGCTCAGTTCGTTGGGGCATTGTCCCATACATCAAAAGGTTGGGGGCTCCATTCCTATTCAGGGCACACACCCATAGTTTGCAGGTTCAACCCCTGGTCGGGGTGTGTGACAGAGGCAACTGACTGATAGGTCTGTCTCTCTGTCTCTCTGTCTCTCTCTCTCTCTCTCTCTGTCAGCCTCTATCTTCCTCGCTCTCTAAAACCAACACATATCCTCAGTGAGAATTTTTTTAAAGTTTGGATCAAATTGGCAGGCCTGTCTTCTTTCTGGAATAGGAGCCTTGTTGGCTCTTTCCTGGATTGCATGAGTTTGCAATCACAGCTGTAACAAACGACCACAAACGTGGTGGCTTAAAGCAGCAGCAATGCACTCCCCTAGAGTTCTGAAGACCGGAAGTCCAAACTCAGCACCACTGGTGCTGTCACACAGCAGCTACACTTCCTTTGGGGCCTCCAGGGCAGAGTCTGCTCCTTGTCTCTCACGGCTTTCTGTGGCTGCCACAGGACATGCCCAATTTGTGGCTGCACCCCCAAAACCTCTGCCTCTGTCTCCTTTGAGGCCTGTGTGTGCACTGCCGCCCTCTTCCAAAGACCCACCCACCTGAGCCCTAATAATCTGATTCATCACCTTTGTCACCACATATAAGACAGTATTCGCTCTTTCTCCGAATGAGCTAGTATTTCCAACTTCCAGGGATTAAGACTTGATCTCTTTGGGTGGCCACTATTCAGCCTACTAGTTTTCAAGCCCTGAAACTACAGAAAGATTGTAAATATAGAAAACCTCTCTAACGATCCACTAAAAACACCACCATCACCAAGGAGAAACCCTCTCCGAGATCCTCTTCAGTGTCGCTGCTTTTCTCATGCTTCTCATGAAAACGCCCTTGTCTAGGCTGCCAAACCCAGCGGTCTCTGCTCAGTTCCTACCCTATCCTGGCAGCACCTGACACAGGGTGGCACTTCCTCCTGAAGTCACACTCTCCTGTCTTTCCTCCTGCTCTGCTGGCTACTTGCTCTCAGCCTTCCTTCCTGGGTCATCATCCTATAAGTTCTGGGTACCAGAGAACCTGTGGCTCAGTCCTTCAACCTCTTTCCTTCTTTATCTATTCTCGATTCCCTAAGTAATACAATCCAGCTCCCACGTTTTAGAACCACCGACACACTGATAACCCCCAGACTCACATTTCCATCTGAATGCTGAACTGGGTCTCAGTCCTCCCGGTGGGAAGAACTCTTTACTGCACTCCCCTCCGCAAAGCTGCTCCTTCCCCAGTCTTCCCCACATCCCAACTTCTCTTTCTCACGTATCCTGCAGCCAGTTGGCAAATATTATTAGTTCTTTTTTATAAAAAATACCTGAAATCCTACTTGCCCACCTTGACCGCTATCAGCTGTTCTAAGCTGCCATCACGTCTGGCTCCTCACAGTCTACAGAACCGCAAAGATCATTTAAACACAGATCTCACCATATAGGTCCCTTCTCAGAACATTCCACTAGCTTCCCATCATATTTAAAGTAAAATCCAAAGTTTTTACCACGGTCTGTGATGCCTCGCCAATGTCATTTCTTGTTTCTGCCCCGATTCTGTACACCAAGCACACAGGCTCCCCCTGTTCTTCAGATGGGCCATTTCCATTTCTGCCCCCAGGCGGCGCTCTCTGCCGCCCCTCCAGGACCACCCTGAGTGTCCATTCACCCCTTAGTGCCTCCCTGCCTCTGTCCAGTGGCCTCCACCTCGGGGAGAACACTCTGGACACCCTGCGTAGTAGCATTCTGTCACTCTGCAGTCCCTCACCACACTTTGTTTTCAGGACACGTGCCACTGCCTGGCACTGTACTATGTATTCACTGGTCTACTCGATTACTTTCTGTCTCTGCACTGAAAGAGGGGCTTTCTGAGCACAGGGAGTGTAGCACGCCCAACCGTGCTCATCGCCAGATGACCAGCGCGTAGGGCAGTGCCTGACAGAATAGGAGTGTGCTATGTATTTTTGGAAAGAATGAGGGAGTGATTAAAGACTTGAGGAGGTGGGTGGCTGGGATACAGCAGGTAAACTCTTAGAGGGGACCTTCTTCTGCTCTCCCGACCACAAACTCTACTAACTGCAGCTGTGCTTCCCCCCAGGAGACCGTGCCCACCTGCTTGAGCAGGATGTCAGCCTGGACCAGCCTCCCCAGGCTGGAGCAGCAGAGCCGACCTCGGAGAATCACGCGAGTAACGGACTGTTTCTGTCTTACAGAAATCGGGATTTCTGAATTGAGATTCTCTGCAAGTTCTTAGCAAAAAGAGCCTCACCTGACATGTGCCTTGGGCAGCACTGAAAGGGCACAGCCACTCTGTGCTCTCTGCCCAGGGCCCAGCTGGGGGCCAGTGGGTGCCCCGCCCAGCACAGGCCTTCCCTCTGCCTCAGACACTGCTCCACCAGCACTACTACCCGCCCCCCCAGAGGAAAACCCACATCCAAGAGGAACTCAATTTAACTTGCTAACAGACAAGCAGAAGTTCAGAGGTGAGCTTCAGTTTGCATTCCCAGTGTTTGCTGCTGGCTGGATATTCTTGGGAAAGTCACCTACGGAAACTCCAGTCCCTTCTCCATAAAATCCCATGTCTGTCCCCTGCCCCATTCTTGAATTTCCCTCCTTCTATCCATTATGGCCTGTGACGCCCAGACTTCCTGCTCCCTGCTGCCTCCCAGCAGACCACTTCAGACATGTGGCCATCACCTGTTGAGGACAGCATTACCTGGAGGTGACATGTGGGCCACCTGCAAGGTCAGTCTGAGGACTCTGCACCTGTGTAGCCATTGTGGTACTCAAGGCCAGGCCTTTGCAGGGCTTCCGATTTCTTCCCTATCCCTGAAGCCCTTACTTGAACTGCTGGTGATGCCATATTGCCAGAGTTTGCATCAAGAAAAGACAGCGTAGGCACAGCCATTCCCTGAGGTCAAAGGCCACACACATGGGGTTGACTCTCTAGCCCTTTCACCTCTGGTCCTTCTCCCTCAAACATTTTATGAACTACCATCTCTTCTGCTGAGCCCTTTGGATACGGGACTCATTCCGAACCAGGGTGCCTATCTTCCGTTGCTCACTAGCAGTGTCGCCCCTCTGTGCCTTGTTTCCTCACCTGTGAGATGGGGTTACTGTGAAACTGTGTGTCAATCCATGTAAAGCACTTGGATAAATGTCTGGAGCAAAGTAAACCCTCAGTGAATGTTGTCTTGCTGCTGTTACTAGGAAGACTGAATTCTCCCGTTCTGAAGAGGAACTGACCGTGGGACTCGTCATAATTCTGTCCATGGCTAAGTGTACTAGAGTGCCCTGCCTAATGTAACCCTCTTCCCGCTCGGCTCTCTTGTCTACTGGCCGCTGTGGCATAGGGAG